TCTCGGAATTTCTGTCGTAGTCACCTGAACCATAGCTTTTTGGCGAGCGCAAGCTGCAGTTGAGTCCCGGGGTCGGCGGCAGGGGCGGCAGCCCTTAAATAACAAAATCTCAGTGGATACTGTCGCAAACAACCACGGGTCTTTTCGAGAATGTTCTAACTTGTGAACAAAAAACATCATTATTACTGTCGCAAAACAAAATGCTGATCTCGTGGTGGGTCTACGCCAAGGCACTGCAATGCGCCATCCTTGTGCTGACACACTGCATGCTGCGGGGTGAGCGGTTGCATCCTGGACCATGCTGCCAGCATCTGCCGCGCCCAACCTGGCTCGAAAAGCAATTAATTACATTAAACCACCTAATTAGCATTCACAGTCAAAGGAGAAAGGGAGTCCCACTTGGACAAGCCAAATCTTAACCATCTTAACCATATTTTTGGTGGCAGCCTATGTCAGCCTACTTGCCTGAACCATATGCCACAGGTTGGCATTGGTTGCAAACTTCCACAACAGTATACGACCAAGTCAAGTAGCAACTGCATAACTTTGGCATCATTGTCGAAACCTTAGCATCATGCGAATCATGTTTTCGAAGGTGTTCCAAACAACATGGTTATTCCCAGATTCCCGGCTTCTGTACATATTCTTGGTACAAAATCCGTCATCTCATCTCCTGTGAGGTGTCCAGCACAGAAAGTTCTGAGATGGCAGCGCGTGACAAGAACTTGCAACGAAACCTAAGTCGTGCAAACAATCTAGGAACCGAATAGTGCGAGCGCTTCTTCAAGGAATCTTCCCCCGTCCTCAGGCGGGGGGAGCTTCCTTGAAGAAGCGTGAGCTATCCTGCATCCATATGTGCGTAGTAGCTAGCGCCCTTTGTTCCTAGGAGCGTGCAAGTGTGTCCCTTACTTAATCAAGTAGGCAGGGCCACGGATTAATAGAAAGATAGTCAATATGAGTCATTAGCTTCTCCTCTTCATGATCATTGGACTTGCTCAGCATCTAAGTAGTATGTACATACAGTGTGTATCCCAATGGTATATTGCAAAAGAAATCATTACAATATGACAATCGTAGGATCCTCTGCCACCTTCGAACTGTCTAGGAAATGGTCCTGTGCGTGTGGGAGGGAGCTCAACATGAAGCATGATGGCATGTCATGTCAGGCAGCAGTGATGAGGACCAGCAAGTTGTAGCCACTTCTCGCAGATGAAGCTTTTAGCAAGCAGCATACCTAAGCACAATGCACAGGGTGTATCAGGGTGTCCTGATACAGAAAGCGTGTAAGGCACTGGGGGTGGTGCTGGCAAGTCCACATCCGCACAAATCAGGTCATACGTCATATGTCATGCTGGAGGGACCGGTGATTTTTGCAGCCCCAAGACAGTCTCATTGGTGCAGCCACTGCAAATGTGCACCAAGCGATGCTCTTCACAACGGAAAATGTCAAGAGACCTGGCCAGCTACCAGCGCTGCAATGCTAACAAAGCCCAGCATCGCATGTCATGACATTGACAGGCTGCAAGTGAGTGACCGGCAAACTGAAAGTTAAAAAATTGATCGTTTCTATTGAGGCTTCGTTTTTGGTTTTCCGGCTTCGTGTTCCAAGGATTTCCAAGGAATGTGCAAGATTCTGCAAGATCTCACCAAAAATGATCAATTGTATGTAAAAAAATATTTCGCTAGGATTTTGACTGTCACTGTGGCTCAGGTCCATGAAAAGCAACATGAAACAACTTGCACGTTTTGCAGCCAACCATTTCTCCCAACTTTGTCTTGCTGTATATACCTAGACCGTAGACATGTTTGATTCGAGACTTTTGCATCAATCAAAGTTCAAGACTCTGCGGAAGTGCTGTTGTGACGGAGGCTGAAAACATCTGAAAACTCGCAGTTGAAGCATCCTGGGACTCTCACGTCCCGCGTGCAACAACCAGCTCCTGCAAGGTTGACCCACCAAGCTGGCTTTACCTGTGACTCTTCTGAATGTACTTTTGGAACGCGGAACCCGTCTGGGCCATTCAGGCGGCAATGAAAACCCAGAACAGTAGCCTCTAGATCAGGTAGCTGTGCTGAACTATGGCCAATGCCAATGACGCATCAAATTAACAACACCTTCCACTTGTGACTGATGATTCACTCCACCTCTCCTCCTCATCAGGTTGGGTCAATGCCACAGGTCCAAGCACACTCTCTACTGCTGTTGCAGTTTGGGTGGTAGCGAAGTAGCTCCACTGACCCATGCTGCACACATGGCGAATAAAGCTCGCGGTCAAGGTGCTTTCTACATCTCTACTTTTTCAGTGTGAGACCTCTTGTTGGACTCAAACCCAAACCCTCAAACCTCTTGCTTGGTGACATGTCAATTTGCGTAGCTGTGAATGGTCAACTGGTCAACGCTTCTCGACAAGTGTTTTGTAGTAACACATTGATTGCAAGTGATTTCACTTGCTGAGAAAGATATCGAAGAAATTGAAGGGTAGTTATTTGGTATGTGGCATGTGGGACATGTGTCTAGTTGGCTAACCAGGGATCCGTGACGGAGATCGACTAGTTTATGTGAATGTTGCAGCACTCAATCGATCTACTTGCAGGCAAGGTCAGGCAGTCAGGGCCGTTTGTGCACGTATCGAGTACCACAAGGGAGTTGAAACCAAATCATTAGTGCGAGCGCTATCCCGCGTCCAATTATATACCAGAAGCTAACTACAGTATTACTGTAGTAGTAGTAGTCGTCGTCGTCGTCGCCGCCGCCGTCGTCGTCGTCTATAGTGGCGAGTAACTATAGGTAGGTGCCTACTTAAGTATGGAGGCAGGGGGCCTCCACGGGTTTTAAAAAGTTCCATATACTGTATAATATAATAGTTATTCGTTGGAAAAAACATCATGTGAGCCATTGAGGTGGAAAGGAACAAGGCACTTCATCACTCAACCTGCACGGAAGCCTTTTACAAGTCTTGCGGGTTGACGCGGCCAGAATAACCGCTCCTGGCTCCTATGGTTCTTCTGTCCTCAACCTGTCCATGGGACGGGGTCGAAGTACGACTATAACCGTCAGGGGCACTCCTGTAGGCATCGACCCTGTAGTTGTCAGCACTTCGGCCGAACTCCGGACGGCTGTAATCTGCCCCCTGGCTCCGGCCATTCCGCTCGTCATCCCGGACCTGGCCCCTGCCATCTCGATAGCCATCTGCTTGATAGCCAGCGCGGTAGCTTTCGCTCCGCACATGGGAATCGTTATTGTAGCTATCCCGGTATGATGGTGGTCGATAGCTGTCCCGGTGGCTGTCATTGCGAGAGCTATCCGCACGCTCGCTCAAAGAGCCTATAGGACGGTGATCAGATCGGCCATCACGATGACTGTCACTCCGAGCGTCGCTCCTGTAGCTCTCTGGGTAAGCACTCCGCTCAGAGCGGTAGTCACTCCCGTGGTTGCCAGGATGACGATCTCGACCATCAGAATGTCGGACATCAGACCGCGATGCATTTGACCGGTATCTTTCTGGTGCCGGATCACCACGAAAGCTGTGGCTTGCACCGTGGTCGCCATGGTTGACCATCTGACCCTTTCTGGGATCAGCTTGTGGGGCTGCTGCTGGCGGATCAGGCCTTGTTCAGGGAACCACGTCAGTTGGACAGAAATAATAGGGGTGCCAAACATCACAACGACAACAACAGCAACAATCACCACGACAACGACTAGTGACCAATATCAATATATATATATATGTGATTATATATGTGTGTGTGCCGTGCATGACTTCAATGACTTCATTTTGCACAGTTTTCTCCGCTTCTTGCGGCCCTTTGGCCTAGATCGCTTTGGCTCATTTAGCTCTCCAGTAGCGAAGGCCTCCCCATGCTGTTCCATCCCAGCCTTGGCTCAAAGAGTTCCAGCTAGCCTCTGAGCTGGTTGGAATGGTCGAACAACGATGATCAGCCCTCAAGGCCTCATTGAACATATTGGCTTCAATATGCTTCAATTACTGCTTCAATTATATACCTTTTCATCCCTCCAATTCCAATGAATCACAATCCAAAAGTCCATAAAGGCGTCCAATGGATCCAACTCCTTCGCAGGTCTGCGCAAATGCCCTTTGCCTCCCTTGACTTGGCTGCTGCCACTGTTGCCTGAGATGTTCTCTTGCTCGCCGACAACTGCACATACCAATCGTAAGTGAGGGCACTAGGAAGTTCTATTCTCTGCACGTTCCATGCCTTGTATGGTGCCTCTATCTATATACCTCCTACACTCCCTACACTGCCTCTACACTGCAGTCTCTGCTCGCTTCATCTCACCACGTTTGACATTCCCTCATCGCATCCTATCCCATCTATTTGCATTGCACCTCACCGTGACCCTGGTGTGTGCACTCTCATGCAATACAACTCTGCCTGATCTCATCCAAGTGTAATCACATTGCAGGTTGCATCACTGTGCTGGGAAAAGAATGTTCTCCCCCCTCTGTTCAATTCTCATCTCCTTGCATCACTCTGCAGTCCACATCAACTTATCTTATTGAATGGCGAGCCTGCACGAGCAACTATAATGTCTTCATTTTGTCATGTCTGTCCTTTGTTCCTCATGTTGTTTCATTTGTGCTGAGCTTTGCTGTCAGAAATGCTGTGGAGGAGACTTGCAGGAGCAAAGTGGTTCCCCGACGCCTAATGAGCAGCAGGATAACAAAGTGCCACGTTGCCTGATAATTAGGGCTCCTTCGTAATTGCAATTAACTCTCTCTGAGCTCATCATGCCCTAAGCCTTTAGCCACTCCTTTAGCCCTCTCTCCCGACCTCCTCTACCATGCCTTGACCTATTCCAATCCGATCCCCTGCACTTTCAAGGGTCACCTCACGTGCTCCCGCATCAGGCAGCATCACCATTCCAAAACGGTTCCCTAACGAATACACTAGAGCCCCTGCTGAACCCCAAAAATGGAACTTTTGAATTTCCAGCCTTATGAGGCCCCAAACTCCACATGTATCATACTTTGTACCCCCAACTGAGGCTGTGCAACTCTGTGGATAGTGGTTCTCAAATGGGTCTCGTGACTGCAAACTGGATCCGCTGCATTGCTCATATACAGTATATGTCCAGGCACCTTTGATTTGGCCCTGCGCTGGGCCTTTGACCATGCCTCGTGTTTGAATGGGCTCGATCACAAACATTGCATGGCTGGTGAAATGCTAAAACTCAAGCTGAAGTGGAATGAGAAAGTTATACGGATACGCATCCAAGCGGTATCAGGCGGTCCACATATCGAGGAGCCAAACGCCAAAAAATGATCAAACATGACCAAACCCAAAGAAGGATTCATAGATTCATCCACAAACCTGTGTTCCCGGTGCTTTGTTCCAAGCCAAAGCCTGGAGAGGCTGCAGGTGGTGCAGGCACAATTGGACGTGGAACACTTTGAACGTATGTGCCAGCATCTCTGCCTTGGTCAATGTCACGCGCACAAACTGTGGTATTCGGGGGTGCTACAGATTCAATCCAAGGTCTTAGGCTACATCGGTTCCATGTTTCATCCCTTGATTTCTGCATCAGCTTGTATTGGAGTACAGTCGCACATCTTCTGCAACGGACTTCGCGGGTAACTATAATTATTTCATGTGTGGTATGTTCGTTGACATTCTCCGGGGTCCCTGCTGTAGACCTGCGTCGACAAAGCCGACCTTTGACCACTTCTGGAGTCTGGTGGCGGATCCCGCCGATACGCCGTCTGTGGTGCAGGCTGTGCAGGTGTTCTTTCCCTGTCCCTGTCTGGGAGCGCTCTGGAGTAGGCGGTGCTTGGTGGGTCTCTTCCTGGCTTGGCCACCAGAGAAAAATTGCAACACTGCAAGATAATGCAAAATACCAAAGTCAATGGCAGCTGCATCTTCCTTCTTATTGACATTTTACTTCGCTCAATGCCCCTGTCAGGAAGGACAAGTGGCGTGTAGTTGTATTAGCTCGTGGGGCTGGGGGCGGCGGAGGGCCTTAGCTTCTTTGGGTTTCTGAAGCGGGCATCCTTGAGTTGTGCCCCGGCAATACACGAAATTGCCACAAATCATGTTAGTTGTTTGGGGCACTCCCTGGAGACAGAGCTGTCGGAGTAATTGCTGCTTCCAAGTATTGCAATCAACTGCCAAAGCACATCGCGCAGCCGCGGTGCGCGGCTCACTCGGAGGACCTCAAAGATTGTTAAATCCAGAGACAGCGTTGAAGGTTTGAGCACAAATCGGGAAGGCAAGCACCTGGAGTTTGCAGCTTGGTTCGTGACCAACAATGCAAGTCTTAGAGCTTTACACGCAACACGCATCGGTTCAAAATGAACCAATGGCCGCCAATGGCCCAAGCGTCGTCCGACAGAACTGTTGGACTCGCAGTTCAGTGCGCACCAATACGTGCTCAACATTATCTGATAGCGATATGTTTAGTTTGCACTGAAGTGTTGCAGTCACGGGCCCAGGACTTTCCAGTCAGTGCGGTTGAGCCGGCTGAGCCCGATCCCTGGGAGTAGTTTGCCATGGAGTTTGGCCTCCTGGGTGCCAATGATTCATGACATCCAGTCTCCACATTTGCATTGCTTGAGTGGACAGCCTCTTTTCAGGCCACTGCTGGCGAATGAAACGTTTGCGTGTGTTGGCGCTGCTTGGGCCGTCTGGCGCAGCACAGCAAAGAGCCTGTGGGTGACATGTCCGACACGTGTCAGTGCTTCGGCGAGGAGTTGGTGACGCACATGTCTGCCAGCTGATGGTCCTCCAAACCTTTACGGAGTCACTGCACTCAGTTAGAGAATTATTTAGTATAAATTACATGATATTACATGACAATGATATTACTGTACATGTTTGCAAAAGGATTTGCACCTGCATCTCCAACCAAACTCTGATGTCTCAGTCTCTGGCTGGCATGACTGCCGGTCCGGTACCTCCTGGAATCTGCCTCGCCATATCCTCAAGTTGCAGTGGGCTTTCGCGTGCTCTTCTCGACCAAAATGCGCGGTTCATGTCCAAAGGAGCAATAAACAAACGTGGTAAATGAGTATAGCTCAGGTCTCGTGCGAAGGTCCGGTCATGTCTGGTCCAGTATGCTAAAGAATGTAAGTCTAGCTTGTGCCCTCTGCCAAAACCATGAAACAGTTCTGCTTGAGCAAGCTTCTTCCTCTATCTCTTGACCGGCTCTGGATTCTGTAGCCATCTCTGTCGGTGTCTCGCTCGCTATATCGATCTGGGCGTCTATCCCTGCCCAAACCGTACTCAAAGTGAAGATCACACGGACACCAAACAAAGGACGCTGCCAAATGTGACTCTGGTTAATGCACTCTTTCACATGCAATTTCGTGTAATACTTGCATTTTATACTGTATGTAAACACAGCAGCATAAAAACTAAACGTCGCAAGTGTAGACGAAAGCAGTCAACACTTGGATATTGTGCCTTCAAAATTCACTTCCATTTTCACCCAGCAGGCCTATCTCTATCTGAGTAGCGATCCCTCGGCATGTCACGCTCTCTACCAGACTGCTTGTCATCTCGACTGGAATAGCTCTGACCGTAGTTGCCTCAGCTTGTCACCAAAACATTGAGCATTACAGTCTGCTGTTGAATCAAATCAAGTCATTCCACATTAGCACAAATTTGGTAGGAAGGTTAAACCATCTTGCTTCGCACTTTTTCTTGTCCGACATTCTGCATCTCAGGCAGGGGCTTGCCCTCAATGACTCACCAGGCCTATCTCGGTCACGTTCAGGTCGCCTAAGGGATTTGGCATGGGAGGAATGGAAGGCAGGAGCGCACGCTTGGTGCGCCTCTCACGATCTTGGTCTTTGTAGCCAACTTCTTGATGCGGCCGCTTCGCTAGACTCAGTCATCAGAATGATCGGCCAATGTTTTTGCCACAGCCGTGCCAAAGGCGCTCACAGCACTTGTCAAGGTTACTGACCCAATTCATTTCAGCATTCTCTGCGCAAAAACATTGAAACAAAAACACCTCCTGTCAAAAAACAGCAAAACACTCAGCAATACTGGTATCACACAACCGGTTGTAGCTTGGCTGGGTGAGTTTGGTGGAAAGGTCAATGAAAGGGTATACCCTTTACAGGGATGGTTTAGGGTATACGTATGGTATGGGGTCGCATTGCCCGACGAGGGGTGATCATTGCCAGTCAGCCAGTCAGGATTTGTACGTGGAATAAGGATCAGCTTGGCTTAACTTGCGCATGTTGCAACATGCTGTAACAAGGGATGCCAAGCGCAAATTCTTCGGCCAGCGGCCCTTTCCGCTCCAATGGTGGTTGGGACTCCTGATAGAATTTGCAGTTCCAAATCTCACAAGTCTACCTTTCATTATCATCGAAGTGTCAATTCCGTGATGAAGAATTGCGAATAAAGCCAAGCAAAAGTCTTCCAATCTTGGTGTAACCATGTGTAAATACACAGCTTGGAATAGGCACACCCTGTGGACCCATGTGGGACGGTCTTGAGTCTTGAGGTCTATTTTCCACTTGCGTTTTTATGACAAGTCTGTGTGCCCCTGAGCATACAGGCAATGGCATGGTCACCTTGAATTTCTGCGTGCACCGGAGAGATAGCACAGCTGGCAAAGCTTCATTTAGAATATATAACATACAGTACAGGATTTTTTGGAAACCGTAATATACCGCAATTAAGTATATTGTTTGTATTACATTGACTCCCCTAACAAAAGCGGTGTTCGAACTTGAACAAACATCAACAACCACAGAGCGTGAAAGGCATGGCCTTGCAGCTGTGGCCTTGCACCAACCGAAAGGGAAGTAGGAAAAATGCAAAGAAGGCATGGCCTTGTAGCCTCTCAAAGTGAATTTATGCAAAGGAATGCAAAAGCAGCCCCGAAAGCAAAGCTTCCAGTACAATGTCAGTGGCTGTCATATTGTGCGTCCTTGGCTTTTCTTGCTTCGTACTTCTTCCTAAGTTCGCAGTGTGAAAACGACTTTGTCCCAGAACATCGCTGAGCATGCTGACACTGCCTCGATACATTTTCCAGAGATGCTCATCAAAGCCAAAACCTGTGGCTATGCAAGTAGTACTGGCGCAAACAAGGTGCTTGGCTTCTCTTTCTTTCTCGGCACCGGGAAACTTGAGCAGGACAGTTTCGTCACCAGCCTTCGACAAAGAGGACACACACAAACACGCAGCGTGTCAACCTAAAAACACTCGTTACAGTATATGATCCTAATCCGCATCCTAAGTACTGGGGGAGTGGTGGTGTGTGTAAGCAGCGCCGTCCGTTTGGGCAATGGCTTGTTATTTGATCCATCCACGTTGCTTGTCGAGAAGACGTCCAAGGAGGAAAACAAGAAGTAGAAGCAGGAAAAGACTCAGAAAAAGAAAGGAGAAAGAACAACGAGGCAGTCGGGCGATTAAAAGAGCTAGCGGCCTAACCATTGTGCTAGAGGGCTCCTGGTGGTACGCATGGAGCTTCAAAAGAAACGCTGCGCGCTTGACAAGCATGGCGCTTCGGACGGCACCTCAAAACAACCCAGTCAAAGCATAGCCAATGAAAATATGATCAAAGCATATCAGGGCGATAATGCTATAGCTTTTTCGTAACTCATGATTCACCTGTGAGATGGCCTCTGTTTTTCTGCAGGCCAAAAAATGTTTGCTCTGCTGGTGTTCTGCAGCACTCTCTGTTGCTCTTTGGCATCAGGAAAAGCCCTGCCATAGGTGATTGGCCAGGGCGAAGCGGCTACAGCCTAACTCGGCAAGCACACAGCTTGTGGCAGCTCACAAAGGTAGACTCTAGGAAGAGTTCAAATAACGTCTCGATCGGGATCCCACTGCACGTAAAGGGTGCTGTGAGAAAAACCCCATCCGGGTGAAAGGCAAAGGAAGCAGGGAATATTTGCAAGTCGCCACTCTAGGTTTTGCTTGTCAACTACACTTTGAACCCGCTTCCGAGCTAGTATTGAAAGCATCCAGCCATAGCAGTTCAAGTACAGTCTTTTCCTGAGCTCATCCACCACGGCAATCTCATCATTCAAGCGTCCAATTGCCATTTGGAGGGAAGCACGTGGCACACACATCTCAAAGTCCGGACCTTAGTTCCCAACTCGGCTAAGTTCTTAAACACATCACCTACACAGGTTCAATGAAGTTGGTGTATCCCCATACCTCTCTCCTCTTTTGCCTGTGTTGTGCTCTTGTGTTGACTAAGCTGGGGTCTGAGACCTGCAGGGTAATGCTGCGTAGAGAAGAAGTTGGGAGTGCCAAGCTGGAGAGGCAAAGCCAGGTCGAAGCTGTAGGCTCGCCGCTGCAAGTGCACAATTCGAAGCTCCAGCAGTAAGGATTTGTCAATTTCCTCCAGGGCACTTTTCAGAGACATGGCAACATGTTTGCTACCTTGGTATGTATGGGAAACTTGGCTACAATTGGATTCGTTTGGTGTGGTGTGCGTCCAAGGATGCATTGAATGTCTTCCACAGCTCTGTTTCACAATTCGTTTCACTTCGACTCGGGCTCACGGCCATTCATTCTCACTATCCCGCTACCAATACGGCCTCAAATTAAAGTAGAAAACGCAACATCAAAACTACAAAACTATAATTCTACCTAGCAAGCTAGTCTCTGCGGCACTTGCCGTGACATTTGCCCCAGATCCTGTCGACACATGGGACAGTTCAAGGCTCGTATCTTGCGACAACAGTCGATACAAATCGGGTGCTTGCATCTGAGATCCACCACATTGGGCACGCAATCATAACAAACACAGCACTCCAGGCACTCCGCGTTTGTTGCCATGGCGGCTCAAGTACTTAGGCGGTTTGACCAGGAATTGACCTCAAAGTAACTTGATACCCAGTTGTTTGTTTCTTGTTGTTGTTGATGTGCATGTGGTTAAAAACTGCTTGGTTTGAGCCTGGGGCACATTGACTTGCAGAACAAGGAACCAAATGGACATCCAACCTTCCTGATCGTGTTTCAATGGCCTCCAAGGCTTGAAGGCGATCCCGGCGTGCTTTCCTAACCGCAAGAAACTCGTGTCGAAACAAGTGTTATATCTCCGCTTTCGCATCTCACAACATTGAGGCCGACAATCTTGATCACAAGTTCACTGATTCAGACACAACCTGTATGGGCCGCACTTTGGCACTTTTTCAGCTTTGCATAAAACATAAAAATCCCAAACACAAAATAAACAAAGATCCGGGCATGGACCTGCCTATTTAGGCCTATATATTTGCCAATAGTCAATGGCAACAAGGCAAGTTCACCAACAAACGCTTTGTCTTTGGCGGGCTAGGCTCTATTGAAACATCTGAACTTTTTCAATGCGCCGCACAACGTCATGTGCCCACATATATCTGCAAGCGCGACAACGCCGCGGCAAGCACGAACCGTCCAACCTGTTTCGGAACCCTGGGGCCGGCCAGCATGCCGGCGCAACAAACAAACTCGACCTCACCATCATAACGTGTCAGCATGTTAGCAGGACCCATGTCAGCACGCCAACGTGACAACATGTCACCATGTCACGTCACGATGACAGCCTGACAAAATGCCGGCGTGACCTCAGCATGTCAGAATGACAACATGCAAACACCTGAAAAAACACCAGGATGACATAGTTTTTGCAGGTTAACATGAAAGAATGAGAGCAGGTCACAATGCCAGCATGGCAGCGAACACAGTGCAAGCACGGTAGCCGGACGGCATGGCAGCACGACAACCATTGACAACCATTTTGACATGTCAGTATTTTGCCTTGACAACCTCAGCTTTACCCAGAACCTTCTCCAGAAACCTCTTCCAAAACTTGCCAAATTTGCACAATGTGGTTTGGGAACGCCGAAACCTGTTGAACGCCCCTATGTTTTTGGGTGTGAAACAAAGAATCACCAAAAATATATACGAATTGTGATCTTCATGAAACAACATCTCGAGTTCTTCTCATGGCACCTTCATGTCGGTTCCTGCCGGCCTTGAATCCAAGAAAGGACACCCAAGTCAGAGATGGTGCTCAGTCTTACTGTCACTCCGATTTTTTGTCCTTAAGTTCTACTCTTGGAGAACACACAATGGCCGGTCACTGAATCACTTGGCTCAGCTCAAGATCTCTCCGCCCGTGCCAGATCCAAAAACAGGCCCAAGTCAGTAACCCCCAGCGAGCCACTGTGCCCCATCAACCCTTGGTTCTAACGATGGATCGACAGTGGTAAGTTGTCTCTGATGATTCTTTTGGAGGAGTCACCTTAGCTTGAAACTAAGAACTTTAAACTACTTTACTTCGAACAGTCCCCACCGTGGCATTTCAAGGCACATCCACCATGCAAGGGCAATTTTCAAGTCTGTCTCATTGCCCGCAGCTTGCCACATGGCAGACCACTTGAATCAGTACCTAATGTGGCCAGCAGAGTACCACCTGAAGCAATCATCGAATGTGGCCAGCAGTAATGGTGGAAAGAAAACATGCCAAAACATGTCAGAGCAGCACCTGAATCAGTCATCAATTGTGGCAAAGCAGTGATGGAGACAAACATGCCCAAACATGTCAGGGTCAACCTGAATCAGTCATCAAGTGCGGCAAGCAGAAATGGAGACAAACATGCCAAACATGCCGTTCGGCAGTGCAAACTGCGACTGTTGAGGTCCGGTAGTGATAGTGCCCACTCCAATCTGGCGCTTGCAGTTGAGGTCCGGTAGTGCACACTGCGATCTGGCGCTTGCAGTTGACAGAGGTCCGGTAGTGCCCACTGCGGCACTGGCAGTTGGGGTCCGGCAGTGCCCACTGCGATCTGGCACTTGCAGTAGGAGTAGGAGAAGGAGGAAGAGGTGGAGGAGGAGGAGGGGGGAAGAGGGAGGAGGGAGGAGGGAGAAGGGAGGAGGTAACCCTCACCTGGCAGGTGGAGAAAAAGATGGAAAAAGCTCAGCCTCATCAAATATGGTAACTTCTCTTTTCATATACTGTAACGGGTCAACTTTTTATGTCAAAGAATTTGTTGGATCTTAAACCACCGTACGGATTGGAAACCGTACCCTGTTTTGCATGTTCTCATGTCAAAATCATTGGTAAACGCAGTGTTTTTTGCATGCGTTTCGCGTAAAAAAACGGCCGTTTCGCGACACCTGAAGTTGATGGTTTTTTACGTCAGTAGCTCTCCGCAGTGAGGCTCCGAACGCACATCTTTTTGACAGATGCCTTTGTCGAGTACTTCAGCGACGGCGCAAAGCGGCGCCGGTCTTCTTCAGCAAGTCGGAACCTTGTGTCCAACGCCAATGCCACATACGCACGTAGCAGCGGAGCCAATCGCTCAAAGCTCCTGCACGCACAGGGACCACATTGCATGTTAGCAACATGTCTGTTTTTTCAAGTTCATCGGGCCGGACTGTGTGTGTGACTGGGTGTTTGTGCCAAACGCATGCCGTTGTTATACACATGTACTTTTAGACCTGGCCTTGGCGGTCGCGTGAAGACACGCGATGAGGTACAGCTGCTTTCAGCAGGCGCCACATCGAGTCCACGTAGCCCGTGTGCACGTGCAAGGAACTTCTGGGCCCACGGCGCACTTTGAAAGCACAGTTGTGCCTATCACAAAATCCATACTTGTACTGCCTCGGCTTGGACTGCACTGTGGCCAAGCGCTCAGACAAAGGCTTCGCGCAGCTCTGCTCAGCAGGAACGTCCACCACTGGGTCGACTTCTTCGGACTCTGTCTCAGCTTCCTGCAGTCATGTAAAAAGAAGAGTCTAGTCTTGTTGACATAACGACATACTGACTTGGCTTTCGATGCTTTCTTTGTTCGTGCCATTTACACAACATAGGAGTGCATGCATTGAGCGCGCAGGGTCCTCGTAGAGTTCCACATATCTTTGGCGCTGTCCCCGAAGGAGATCTTTAACAATGGAGACAAGGGTTCGTCCATTGCTTCCACACCATCCCAGCTGCCAGCCACCATTGAAGAGGCTTGCGCCTCACACTGCGGTTCATCCTCTTCGAGAGAAGCCGCCGGAGAACTGTCCACTTCCACAGGGCTTGGAGTGTCCAGATGCAGAGCGTTTTCTTCATGCCCAAGAGCCTGCGTGACTCGGCGTTGTCGGCTGAGAAAACCGCAGCCGCTGATCCATGAACACTGGTGTGAAGCACAGTGGTCCCAAACACTCTTCCTACTCAAGCAATCATTGCTCGTCAATCATCCAAAATCCTCATAACTCCCTATACCCAAAAAGCCAAAACTATTCGGGTGCCACCACATGACTTTTCATTCTGAGCGTGAACGGACTATCCGCAGGATCCATTGGACTCGTGCAATCATCTGCGTGGTTCAAGTAGCACTGCAAAGTCTTCGGTGTGGGAGAGGCTGATACCTCAGAGCATCGTCGCAACATATCACATAACCTCATGCGACCACCATTCTGCTAAACCGCTACACTTGTACGTAGGGTATGTCAGTCTCAACCAGAAATGCTCAGGAATGCCAAGAATCCTCACATGGTTGACAAGTTGACAAGCCAAGCAACATCCGTGCTATCACATCATGAAGAAAAAGTCGAACTCCCAAGCTCATTACAAACACTGCTCCTAGATGAGCAAACAATCCTCCACTGAAAAAACACGTGTCGACAAGGATCTGATGCCGCCGCGGAGGTGTCACAAAAGCACGCCGAGAAGATCGTGATCGAGAACGAGAGGATGCCCGCAAGCGTGAGCTACGCAAAGGTGCATCCGACATGGAGCTACGCAACAAACGCCGACTCAAAACCAAAAGAAAAGGAGTCAGTTTCTGTTTTTTCGACAACGAAAACCTCAACCACACATTGCACCAAAGTGTGAACAACGAAAGACGAGTTTCTAACACCTGATCCCAGTTTACCCAGCAACGGTCTGAATCCAAAACTGTTTCGTGAACAAAAGCAAGAATGGGGTCAGAACAAACACAAGTTAAGCCGTCTATGTACTGGTCTAAAGAAAAAGGGTTGACGCGCCACAAAGGAAGAAGACACAAAAAAGGAGGAGGACAAGGAACACCCGACAACCGAAACAACAAAACTAAAGCGCATACCGTGGCTACTTCTTGAGCCTTCATGCTCATGCAAAGTATGTGAACACAAGAACGAAATAACATTCGAACCCCCCCCCCCAACCCCAACAACATGTGAAGCATCACAAAAAATCTGCAAAAATGTCTCAAAAGTGGGTCCGGTTTTCAGTCCCTAGGCTTAAACCACCTACCAGCATTGACTCCATAAAAGCTGTTGCTCCTTAAAAGCCGGAAAAATCAAGCCATGTAATGTAGGGCTCAACCTCTGTTTCCTTTGGTTTATAGGTCACATCAAGCAATTTCATTAAACCTGTACAATTGCATACTTACATACTTGCTTTCTTTCGCGGAACTAGGTGATGATGGTCTCTCGTATTTCCATTCGCAAGCTTACGTACAAACTCCTTAACCTATTTCCTTTGCTACGCTTTTTGAATGAAAATAAGAGGAAGTCTTTGGTCACTGGATTCACAACCTGCCCTTTTTGGAAGCAAGTGCAGGTGGTTACAGTAAAAATCCAGACCAGTCGTTAACAGTCTTTAGATTCATAGGCCCCAGATCCAAGAACAAGAGTCAAGAGAGGAGATTTATTAACTTAATCGTTTACACTGAAACAATTTATGAAATACGATAGCTACAAATGCATGGCGGATCATAGTTCTGTCCTATGGCATTGTAACAACAAAAACGAAAGAACAGAACACGAAATCATTGTGTTCATTCATTGGTCCACCTTATGTTAAGATAATCAAGAACTGATGATTAGAAAGTGACCAGAAGTAAAATAGAGGGAAACGTAAAAAATGTTGATAGTCTGTTTGATGAGACTGTGTTCCTACAGCATTAAACAGAAAGTCCAACGCTATCAACAAGTGTTTCTGTATTATCTCTCCTTTTGCCTTTGAACTACACATTTAATCATAGAAAAAAGTGCGTAATGAGTTCAAGCGAGTATATAAAATATATTGGTTATTGTTGCACCGGTCAATGCTTTAAACATAACAACACAAGACATTATATAACATTCTCACTCTCATAAAAACAACTTACGACACCCCCTCGACTTTCAATATGTTTGTCTTTAGGGTTTATTCTTGTCGATTTGTCTATGTTTAATATTCCTAACTTAATACTGCACTTGCTAAAGAACCAAAGGAACCTACAATATATATAAGGAAAAAATAGGAAAACCAATAATGCAATAATGCATTACAGTAATGAAAGGCACCATATGGCACCATAGTTTGAGGTTAGTAAGTGATGGAGGAGTAATCCTATATTGGTTTTCAATATTGTTTTTGTTCTTGTTCTTGTTAGGGTGCACAGAGAAAGAAATAAGAAACCTAACAAAAGCAAGACCATCACTTTGCATTATTTTTCATGAGATTGTTGCACCTTCATGCCTTCATGTATTCTATATAACTCTAGATGTTCCTACAAGAAACAAAGTGGATAGGTGAACGGAACGGGCCGATCATCATATTCGATCATATTCATACCTTGGTCTAACCGTTCACCCTGAAAATCAATAATAACAAAAATTGATTCTGAAGGTCATTAGTCCCTTCAAATGAATCCATCTGATTTCCTTTTCATCTTCACAAAGTTCAAAGGCAATAAAATCGCAACGTTGAAATTTATCCTAGGCCCGGGCGAATAATGGAAAGGTTTATTGCTAGTTATTTTAGTTTTGCTCTTACAGAATTCAACCTTGGCACCATGGGAGCAATTTGCCTACCCCGAAAGAAAAAAAGAAGAAGCAAACATTGCACTCCAATATCATATTATTTTTTATTTCCTTTATCTTGCGCCACGTTATCGTCTTTGTTCTCGTCATCATGTCACAGTATAGTATGTATAAGTGTTTAGGCTTTAACGAGCTGATTGGGTTGAGTTTTAGAAATACTTGAGAAAAGGAGGTCGGCGAAAGGTTGGTGAGGCAAAAGGCAGCAGCAGCAGCAGCAGTAAATGTAAGCAGCAAAGCGGTAGCCGCAGCGCAGAAAGGCTGCAGCAACAGCAGCAGCAAATTGCAAAAATACTGAGCCGTCACAGCAGGGAGTTGAACCCATGCCCTACCCCCTAAAGTGAAGGTCGCATTTTGCGACCCCAACATCAGGTCATGTAGGAGGATCATAGCCCTAAGCTAAAGCTAATTGAACTCTGAGGCAACCTTTCGTGACAAGAGAAGCTTAATCCACCCATAAATTAAGTAAATAAACAATAATGATGAATGGGTTGGATCTTAGGCTTACTCTAGTAGAAACTATATTGTTGGTTTCCTAGAAACCTGACATTATCCATCAACCACGTAAGTCCCAAACATAATCTCCCCAAAAAAAGGGAACATTCGACTGAGATGATATATGGTTTCTTAAGTTGTCTGTCCACACGAATCATTTAGTTTGTTCAAAATTTCCATCTAATGACATGGTGTAAGGAAAAAGAGTATATTCATGTAAGTATATATACATATATATTCTATGGGTTGGGTTTTATGATCTATGATTTTAACAGCTACAATTCTGACATTGCAATATTGTATCATTGAGTTGCAAAACTCCTTATATTATTGCCTTTGGATTTTTGCACTGCTTCTTTCATTTGATCTCGGCTCCTTCTCCAACAGGAAAATTGGATGCAAACTGAGAAGGAAAATTGGGTCAACATTCATTCATGAAACATAACAATCCAAAATCTCAAGGACATAAGATAAGGAAAGGAGTCTATGATATGTTGCTTATTTCTATATATTTTTCCCGAGAGCGTCTGCGAAGGGTTCTTCGTAAAAAAACATCTGCAGAACTACACCTCCTCTACATCTTCACATCTTCACATCTGCACATCTACATCTCTGCTCATCTTCACATCCTCACATCTACATCTCACATCTTCACCTCTGGCTCTTCTTAACTTTCTCTCTTAAGGCCGGGGGCAGTGCCGCCGGACCGCCACGAAACGCAACCCTCTGCGGAGATCGTGCGTGTCGAGTGCGCGAAATGCAGGCGAGAGTGCGATTTGG